CTATGAAATATACTGTTAGTTTTTTTAGTTTCTATGATACATCTTTCATGTGGTTAAACAATACTAATTCATTTTATTCCTGATTTTGACAAGCCTCCAGTCAGTACCTACCTCCTATTTTTTTTTAATTTGAACGTTTTTCACATCATACAAATGCACAATAAACCATTAAGGAAAATCAGTGTTAAGCCCAGATAAATATAATTTCATCTAGGTAAAGATGAAGATAAATAAATTATTATTTTTTCATTCATGCATAGTTTACTGTTTATTGTAATTCATAAGCATATCCAGTTTTAATATGTTTAATCTAAATATTGGTTACCTAGCTTTGGTAAGTATTGGTTAGTTTTTTTGGAAGTTCCAGTTCATAATACCTACTAATTTATTAATCACTCCAATAAATATAAAATTAGGTACCCATACCTGTTAAAAAATCATATGTTAAACAAATTTGGCAATCTTGGATTAGGTATATTATAATTTGTAACAAAATTAAAACATAAAAAGTATTAAATGTACATAAAAAAAATTTAAAAACATCATTTTTGAGATCTGCAACATAAGGGCATTTCAAATGTGTTGTCATTAAAATCCTGTAAGGCCCAAATCATTCATTAGATATTGTTCAGAGTTAGTATGATAATATTTTTTTAGAGTCAAACCTAAAAAAGTCTAACTATATATTATTTAATCTTAGATCTGATTCAGTTAACATACATAATCTTTTATATGTCCACATTCCATTAATTGTAAAAATAAAATTGTATCATGTAATTGTCAACATATTCAAAGAGTAAATCATTTTAAATATTTATGGTTAATATTCGATGAAAAACTAAAATGGAATTATCATGTAGATAAATTGGTAATTACTATCAGAAAACTATTTTATAATTTTAAAAGCTTAAAATAGGTTTAAAATATTAAATATCTGAGAAATATATATATATATCTTTAGTTCAGTCTTTAGTTTATTATGGATTGCCTTTTTGGGGTGTTACCTATAAAGATTATTTAACTCCGTTAAATACAACTATTAACAGTTTAATAAAAGTTATTAACTCGAAGCCTTTTTTATACCCAACGAATCAGTTATACCTTGACTTTAATGTACAACGCATATCAATATTATATAATAAATCTTTACTTTTACTTGTATATAAATACAGACATTGTTTAAATACCATAGATCATAATTATAATATTAGAAATAAATGTCATTCGAATCTCAATTCTATTAAATTTTATAAGACTGTAACATCTCAGAGTCCTATTTACAAATGTACATTGCTGTGTCGTAAATTAAACTTAAATCTTTTTAACTTTAATAATATTAACTCATTAAAATTAAATATTAAGCTTAATCAGTTTGACAATATTACACTTAATTATGATTTATAAATCTTTTCCTTTCTTTTATTCTTTTGTTTTATTTTTTATTTTTCCTATTTAATAATCTTATACAGGGTGGTCAAGAAAAGGCGGATACATTTAAAAACTCTGTCAAATTGTTAAATTTGGTCATATTGGGTTGAAAGTAAAAATAATTTGTAGAGGAACAAGGTATTATGTTGTTATACGATTCTTAGTTTA